GAGGGTCAGCGCTGTGGGAGCGGGCACTGTCGGAGGGTCAGCGCTGAGGGAGCGGGCACTGTCGGAGGGTCTTTGACCTAAATTGATTACTGCATGTCTGTTTGTGGGAGCTTGCTGTGAGTAAATTGGCAACTGTGTTTTCATCCCAATTGTGCAAACCCACGATGACTGGGTGTATCTAAAGGCTGTTGCTTGGTCTTTTGCTTTTCGTTTCCCTTCAGTCACTCCCTCTATCTGTTTCTGTTTCCATTTGTGCCTCCGTCTCTTTACTCTCCTTCTCCCATCTGACTGAAGGAGTCACCCAGTGGGTGAGCACCACCTGAATCTTTGTGAGTGTGCATCTCCTTCCTGCATGACATGACTAATTTTGGAAAGCAGTCAACGCTTGGTCCATTCCCCATAAATAACCCAGCTGAGATCTCTGGCAGCAGTTGCTGCAAGTCCTGGGGATTAGGATATACAGGAGTTTAGTGTGGACCCACCCCTGGACCTCAATCCCCACTCCTTATAAGGTGTCAGCAACACACCTACATCTGTGTGCCGCCTATGACTGGCTCCAATCCAGTTCACACAAAATACAGGACTTGTCTCAGAAGTCAAACCCTCTTGAATTGTTGCAGTCACAGGATCTAGTTTGTGCACAGCAAGATTCCACGAGCATGGGACCCCTCCAACACTGTGGCGCTCCCACAGCGCTGATCCTCCGACAGTGCGGGGCTTCTTCAGCGCTGACCGTCCGACAGTGCGGCACTCCCTCAGCGCTGACCCTCCGACAGTGCCCGCTCCCTCAGCGCTGACCCTCCGACAGTGCCCGCTCCCTCAGCGCTGACCCTCCGACAGTGCGGCGCTCCCTCAGCGCTGACCCTCCGACAGTGCGGCGCTCCCTCAGCGCTGACCCTCCGACAGTGCAGCGTTCCCTCAGCGCTGACCCGCCGACAGTGCCCACTCCCTCAGCGCTGACCCTCCGACAGTGCGGGGCTCCCCCAGGACTGACCCTCCAACAGTGCCCACTCCCTCAGCACTGACCCTCCGACAGTGTCTTATGGAGTGGCGTAGTGGCTGAATGAAGAGGTGACAGAGATATGGAGGGGTGTACGGGCTGGAGGAAGTGACAGAGATAGGGAGGGAGTGTAGGGGGCTGGAGGAGGTGACAGAGATAGGGAGGGTGTGTACGGGCTGGAGGAAGTGACAGAGATAGGGAGGGGGTGTAGGGGCTGGAGGGGGTGACAGAGATAGGGAGGGGGTGTAGTGGCTGGAGGAGGTGACAGAGATAGGGAGGGGGTG